ACCTTACCGGGCAGTACTGCTGTGAGTGTTAACTGGTTTGGGATTAACTTTAGTCCCAAATCAGTCCACACGCAGCATTAATGTGCTTTAACACCTACACATGTAGACACCAGCCTATTCCTGCTTACTATGGAGTAACTTACTGCGTAGTAAATTTAAGTCAGCATAAATGCATTTTTAGACATGCCCTGTGTGTACTTCTTTGATGCCTATATGGCTGAAAACTTCTGCTTAATAGTAACCATTATATATAATACTTAAAGTATTAAATACCCGTTTTATTATACAATCTTTGGCATATTGAAGCAGAGACCATTTGACTGGCCATCTTTTAAAAATTCAGGGCTATATTCCCAGTTAGGATCTGACCCTATCATTTCTTTCTTATGATTCAGAGAATAGTTCATTAAAAAACTCCCTGCGTACTATTAAGCTGCAGAGTGAAGCTTCCCCTTTCTGTAGTGGGTCTGTCACTTCTGTAGAAGCTTTGTAAACGAGATAAATCCTAACTTTTTCCAAGAAAGTAGTTTCAGAACTTGGAAGAAAAATTGGGGCTTTAAGAACTTGAGCTGCAAACATTTCAACAGGCTTAGTGTGGTATTTTATGGCTTAAAAATGCTGTAGTCCAGTAGTTTAAACAATGAGTAACCCCCTTCAACTATTTAGTGCATGTTACTTGGCTATGTGCGCTCTGCATTGCCAGTACATTTACAATTTAAGAATATAGGCTGGTTCTGGTGTCTGGTGGTGGAAATAATTTATGTTGCTCTTTGGCAGGACAAAAACTGACCATCTTTTGACTTAAACAGGTGCAGAAAATGCCTTTATTCAGACAAGATCTTAATTCAAACTTGAGCAAGAAACAGGAACATATGGTGCCTAACTAAGGCATTCAGACCTTAATCACAGTTACACATCCTCTTTTCATAGTGCCCTGCTTCTGCACCTGTTGAAGACCCTGGCAACAACTTTAATACCAATGGAAACAACATTACAGCCTTAAGAAGAAACATTGGCACAAAGGAAGTGACCAGGACGGAGGCCGAATGGCCCTAAAATGTATGTGGCATCATTATTTGTAAAGCTATGAATATGAAGCAGAACTTCTCCTTTAAATGTCATTATTCCAGTGCTATAAATGTTTATGCAAGAATGATGCATTTTCCCTGGATTCCCTCCTATTTCCTCCTGATATTTAAACACTCAAAACCTACCAAAAAGTTCAAGTTTTGCTGCTCTTTTAGATGTGGGGCCAGGCCCCTCCATTGTGGATAACTCCAGAGAAGCCTGCTTTCTTGCTCTGAGCCAAAATTCAGTCCCAGTATAACAGACAAACTAGGATTTAATTTCACTGAGCAGATGTGATGTTGGCCAGGATCAACAATGCCTTGTCTTTTCATGGAGACCGCTCGGACAAACTTTCCACTGCAGCAGCAGAACCCTTCGCTTCTGACTTAATATTGTCTGCTGACTGCAGGGACAGAGGAAACAAAATGGCCCTTGAGTGATCAGAAAGGATCCCCAGCCTCCCTCACAACTGGAGGGTGAAGGTAGCTTCTGAATTCCAGCCCTGAGCATACAGTGGAAGCCAAGGTTTTCTTTTTCCAGCACTGTTATTGCAGTGAGTCATGTAAAGCCAACAGGCTGCTGCTGTTTTGATGTTTTATGAGGCCTTCCTTCTGCACAAGGTTGGTCCTGATCCCTTGAAATCGTTACTGGAGGTCCCGCAGACTTCAGTAGAAGCAGGGTTGGGTCTTTCATTTGGACCAGTCAGATAAACCGCATAAAACTGCCAGTGCTGTTATATTTCCCTGGAATGTCATGGGGACTTTAATAAACCAAATAAACAGCTTAAGGTTTTAAGAGCCTGTAGATGAGATAAAACGGCTGTCAAATAACAGTTCTATCAAGCAAGGTGTCTAGCCAAGGATGATGTGGGGGAGAGAGAAGGAAAATGGAGTTATAATAGGGATATGATGGACATGAATTTCATGCCAGACCCTGTAGGTCCCGCTGGAGACACCTTGCACTCACTGAAGCCACGTGTGGCCAAACAAGGTGAGATCCTGCCTATTTACTTGGACTGGGTTTATCTTGCCCTGCTAACAGTTCCATTGACTTCAATAAGCTGCTTTATGCAGTGAAGTGCTCCTAAAAATACGAGGTTCAGGATCTGGCACAAAGCATTTAGTTGCAACCACAGGCCTGATTTATATTTAGATTACTGCAGTTATGCTCACAAATGAGGTACTGAAATATGAAATCTTAGCTAGTTGCTTGTGATATTTTCCAGTCCGTATGTCCACTCCCAAAATTTAGACTGCAATTCTTACTGGGGTATGGAAGAAATATCTAACCTCTTCTCTGAGACCATTGCAAGCAAAAGCCAGATCCAAGACAGTCAGTTCAGTGGTAATGAGTCTAACATAGGATCTGTCTTTGGTTAATAAGAACTCATGTATGACCATAGTTCTGGATCAGCAAAATAAGAGAATAGTAATGAGGTTTCAGCACTAGATGTATTTAATTCACTTTTGAAAAGGACTATTTAGGATCCCAAATCATCCTGGAGGTCACTTAGTCCTTCCAGAAAGGCCACCCAAAAGGAAATAAATTAGGCAACATCCTGTATTTAATCTGTGATAAAACCAGGTGAAAAAAAAAAAAAGCTCTAGCTACACCTTCCAGAAAGGCCACCCAAAAGGAAATAAATTAGGCAACATCCTGTATTTAATCTGTGATAAAACCAGGTGAAAAAAAAAAAAGCTCTAGCTACATCCTCAGACCACCCTGGCCCCTGATCATTAGGGGTAAGGTTTTGCTACCCATACACACTCTGAGTTATACATTATCCCATGACAACTCCATCAGATCAGAGGGTTGGCTTGTGCAGTCAGAAACTACTCATCACCATGGCATTTCTGTGATGCATGGGGCTTATATGGTCCTATTATCACAGTATCAAAGAACCTCACAATCTATTTATGCGCCTGAGACCTCCAGGGGAGCAGGGCAGGGCTATTGCCCCCATTTTCCAGCTGGGGAGCTGAGACACAGGAAGCTCTTAGGTTTCAGAGGAATGGGAGCTAGATTTCCTGAGCTGTGGGATTAAAAAAAAAAAAAGCAACACCTAGCAACAGGCTATAGAAACCATTTTTGTTTTAAATGTGCTCAAGAGGCATTGTTTGGAAAGCCTTTGGAGAGTGACACAAACCAGGAATGAGGTTTTGTTTTCTCTAAAGGAAAAGCAGAGGCCAAAATAAACCTTCTGAAGTGGATGAAGGCTGCAGTCTTTGCAAGACCGCCTGGAACCAAGCCCCGTCACCATCACTAGCCCCCCAGTGAGGTGATGAACTCAGCCTTCAGATAAGGCTTGACGTCAGAAAGAATAATTTTCCATTGTAGCTCCGTCGTTTCAGCTCCATTCCTCTGGGAAGGAGCAGACCCCAAGTATCTGGGGAGTTCTGCGTTATTTCAGAGAGTGTATTTTGGCAGCGCCTCTTCCTTTTTCTATCATATCAGTGCTTTCCTTGATAAACATATTTCTTATGACCATGAGTAAGTGGACAGTTTGCCAAAGCTGTACTGAAAGGGAGCCACGCTATGGGTCTATTATTTGGAGATAACTGGAAGATCCCTCCAGGCACTGCCAAGAGCCCCAGAGATGGCATCACCCACCCAGCTCCAAGTGACTATTTTCATGGAGCTCCTCATAACGTGAGAGTCGCATGTACTCCCTTCAAACCAGGTCCTGTGAAGCAGACATGTAGCAGAACTCCAGCAGTGACGCTAGTTTTAATGTTGTGGGATATCAGGTAGGTTATCATATGGTTGCTGTTAGGAGCCAGATCTTGAGAGGTGTTTGGCTCTGTTATTCCCACTGACTTCAGAAGGAGCGTAACTGGAGTGAAAGGATTTCTGAACGGCTTGGGCACCAACTTACAGCTCAGAAAAATCTAGCTCCCATTTCTGCTGTGCCACAGACTTCCTCTGAAACCTAAAAGCTCCCTGAGTCTCAGCTCTCCATCTGAAAAATGGGGGTAATAGCCCTGTCCTGCTTTACTGGAGGCCTCAGGCGCATAAATAGATTGTGAGGTTCTTTGATACTGTGATAATAGGATCATATATGCCTTGTGCATCTCAGAAATGCCATGGTGATGGTAGTTTCTGACCGCACAAGCCAACCCTCTGATTTGATGGAGCGGTCATGGGATAACTCAGAGTGCATAAGGGGTAGCAAATCCTTACCCCTAATAATCAGGGGCTGGGCTGGTTGAGGATGTAGCTAGAGGTTTGGTTTTTTTTCCACCTGGTTTTATCACTGATTAAATGCAATACAATTTATACAATTCCACCATTTGTATAGAACTAGAATTTGCTGCAGTGCAGGTGCTGGAGACTGGGCTTTCTGTAATGCCTTTCTTTGCCTTGCTCAATCAAATCTGACTGAAACCAATACAGTCCTACAAAACCTTTCCATTGCAGCGAAACAGCAGTTGCTTTCTGTTGTTGTTTTTTTGTTGGGACACTGTTCCATGGAAACACTTTTTGATCAGCTTGTTACCTTGTTCCCTGGAGTAGGGGCCTGGTTTTGGGTAAGCATTTGTCCCTGGGCAAACTGGCATCAGACAAGCTGATGTGCTAGCAACAGAATCTTCCCAGCCTCTGGTTACTAAGAGGTGGCTGGTTTGGATCTGGCGAGTCACTCCTTAGTAGTGAAGGAGCTTTGTTTTTTGTTTTTTCTGTCCCTTGTAGAGACAACAAGGTGATTTTTCCAATCAAAATGTTCCTCTTCCTTTCAGGAATCATACAGGGTCTCTTCCTGCCAGGGCAGAAGTGCCTGCTATGGAGTTTAAGAGCCATGGCATGATTTCTAGCAGCGGGGTGGGGGAGAGTGTTACAACTTGTGTAATTTATTTTCTTTGCCTGCTAGTTCTGTTTCTGGGCAGTGCTTTCACTTGGCTTCTCTGAAAAAAGCTAGTGGATACTAGTTCTCAATCCTTTTTTAGTAGACATCTGACTGGTTGCTTGTAGTGTGGCTGCATGCACAGCTCTAGTTACTGTGCAAGCCAATTAAGTGGGTAGGTATACTCTTCATACTTATATATGCTAAAAAGTACACTCTCAGAGCATTCTCTGATTCTATTTTCTCACTTGTAAACAGGGTAATGTAATACATAGCTATTTCCAGGGCTTCTATGATGCTTTGATGAAGCAATATAAAGGGCTTTAAGATCACTAGGTTGAAGGTACTTTGGAAGAACAAAGCCTTACCTTCCTTATACAGTGAAATACAGTGCTTTCTAGAGAATGAAAGAGAATCTACACTCTTCAAGTTGCTATTTAGCTCTGATGAGCCCCTGCCATATAGTGCTCCATATGGAAGCATTATCCTTATGTATTGCCTGGAAGCCATGTAACATTACTGGTTGGTGGTTGTTTTTCCCCCCTCGTCTTTCCCCTTGAGACTTCTGCTTTTTGGCATCCTGTTTATTTGTAGTTGCTTCACTTTATGCTTGCCAGGACTGTACCTATTTTCCCTGGTTTATCTGTGATTCATGGAACATTGCTGCTCCACCCTGTAAAGATAATGAGATCTCTGTTCTTACTCAGAGGACATTTGCTGAGTTTAAAGAAATGTGGCTGAATACACTTCTGCCAATAGGTATTAGAAAGGGAGTGAGCAAGGGCTGATTGGCTAGTGCATATCCTATGGCTTAGAGAAGATAAAACATAAGGTGTAACTAGACAAAGTGGTGACCTAGGGAATAATTATAACAGCAGAGGGACATTCCCCTGAAAATCCAGAGCATTTAATGAGCCCCGTGAGCTTATGCAGCTAACTGATTAATTCAACAATCCCATTTACCAAGGATTCTTTCTGCTTTGACTAGATGAATGCATGTGATGAATGCATTCCCTCTCTCCTGCCTGCTGCTGCCAGGTGCTGTCCTGGGAGTGAGACAAGCTCCTGCCCACTCCAGCTAAGTGGCTTGGGGGCTGCATTCATTGGGCACTGGGGCAGCAGTGGTAGTGACCAGGGGCCATGTTCTTGGGCTGGCAGGGAATACCCAGGGGGAGCAGGCAAAAAGAGGGAAGGCACCTGCCTACTGCCACCACTGTTGCAATTTGGGGCTGAGTACAGCCCCATGCAACCCAGCTGGAGCAGGTGGGAGCTCCTCCTCACCCCCCTCAGCCCAGCAGCAGGCAGGGGAGAGGATGGGGGTGGGGGAGAGGAAGGGACACACCTTTGAGCACAGAGGGGAAGAGAGGAAATGCATATTGAGACTTAAATCCCTGGCTGCTGCACCTCCAGCATGGTCGGAAAGTGGGGTGCAGCCTTGCCACTGCACCCCCTTTGGATCTGCCCCATGTCCTCACTCCTTTTATCTCTGGTTCTGTGACATGCTTCGTTCTGTGACTCTGACAAGTCTCCTAGGGTCAAAGTCTTAACAAAACAAGTGTCTCTTTGAGGGCACAAGTGGGGCACTCTGAGTCAGACCTGCCCTATAACTGCTCTCTTCTTTCGTTTGCCATCTGTCAATGGGAGATGTCAACACCGAGCTGTCTAAAAGCAGTCTTGTGAAACAATTAGTAGCAAAACTCTTTGTTTTTCTGTGGCTCCTTTCTTTGGAGAATGTCCTCCTTTGATCTTGTGAGAGGAAGGGAATCACAGGTCGCCCTTTAGGTCTTTTGCAGACTTTTCTATTAATTAAAATGTGTTATTTTTTCTCTTAGTATAGCAAAGGAGAAAGTAGTAGAATTGCAGGGGGAGTAAAAGGGTGGGCATAAATCAGTTGGAAGCAACAGGCTTGCTTCTTCACTCCTGAAAGGAAGCCTGGCTAGAGGTAAGACTTCAAAATTAACACAAAACCTGCCCAAGGAAAGCACAATGATAAAAGTGCCCCATTCTGCCTGCATGGAAAAGATACTATTTTTAAAATATCTCACTTCCCATTATTCAGTGAGTACAGGAAGGGAAGGGAGACCATTCAGGAGAATCAATTATAGTAACATTTAGCAAACCCTCATAGTTTCCAGCCCCAGTGCAGATCATAGACTGCAAGGCATGGTTTCACTTTCTGCTGCTCATTCACAGGCCCAGTGCAGCCATATTTGAGTTATAAAATTGCACATAGAAGCTTAAATCCACACAGTAGGTACATACTGGCTGCATCTACACGAGACACTGCACAGTCATTTAGTATTTGTATACACAAGTACTAAATAACTGCTCAGTAACTGGAGTTACTGCTCAGTAGCATTGCTGACCAGCTTTTAGGTGATACTGACTGCGCAGTGGCTTGTTACTACTGTGCAGTAGATTCGGGTGGGCAGGGCAGCCATGGGGTGGGGGGCTAGAGGAGCAGGGAGGGTGGAAGGGCTCATGGTACAGCCTCCCATGCAGTGTGGGGCAGTGGGGGGCAGCGGGGATCAACCCTCTGCCAGGCAGCAGCTGGTGAGTCAGGGTTTTTTTTTAATGG